CGTTTACAGGGCTAATTTGGGCTCTCGGAGACCGAAGTAAAACTTTAAAGCCTTATTTCTCAAAATGACCCAATAGAAGGATCACCAATATCTCGCACACGTTATCTCCACTGGGTTTTAACCGAATGTTGTCAAATTTTCAACTGACATTGGTGAAGGACACGATTATTTAAGTCTTAAACCTCCAAAATGTGCAATTTATGAAATTTTTCCCTGTTATTTAGTTAATATAGTTAATATTAGTTAATATTAGTATACTTTTTCCACATTTCACGAGAAAAACCCCCTCAAAACACTGTTTTCTGAGGTTTGTCTCCTGGACAACTTGCTTATGGACAGGATGAACTTAATTCCATGCTTCTCGAACCATTCTTTATTACGTTATCGTGTTTATAATTAACACCACTTTTTAACACTTAGGAGCTAGTTACTCATTAACTATCGCGGCATGTGACCTGGAAAAGCTCATTTTTGAAGTCGGAGTGCAAAGTCCTTTAACGGTGTACCAAAACTGTTCCACAGAGTTGTTTTGCAAAAAAATATTTTTAATGTATAAGACCCCCTTAAGTTTTTAAAATTGTTATTGTACATATTTTTCTCATAATTATTATAATTATTCGATGTTCCTGGATGTTCTGGGATGTTCCGGAATGTTCCATGTTCCGGGTTTTATCGACGCCATTTAATGATATGACTACTTCAACGTTTAATATAAAACGCATTCCTCCATTACAAGTTGTCATTGCACCCGATTTGATTACCCTGTGAGCAGTTGGTTTCTCCTGAAAGACAAACCGGCTGCTCACAGGGTCATATCATTACCATAAAAAAGCTAAATGTTTGGTTTCAAGGCACTTCAGGAAGTCTATTTTGTACTCTAAAAAGAAAATACTTTTAGAACTACGTTACCAATTTTTTTGAAACAAAATCTCGTCTTGGAGCAGGTGGCCTATTTATCGTAAGCGAGAAAAGCGAATCCCCCAGCTACACTCTTCACTGCCTCAGACTTCTTTCTTCATTCCCAGTCAATGCGATGAAGGTTCGAGTAATTCTTGTTTACTTAAGAATATATATCGCTATTTTGGTGACATCTTGTGGTAACTTTACAGGTAAGGTGCATCTGTTCTTAAGAGTGACTTTCTCAAAATGTCGAGAATCGAAAGACAGTCACGAAAAATCGATTTTTCTTTTATTTCGCCAAAACATACCTTTGGGTGAACTTATTCAAGGAAAAATAGTTTAAAGTTCCAACGATTTATTTTACGGCCAAAATTTAAGAAAGTTCGAAATTTGCATATAATGGCGGTTTTCGCGGCTTAAAATGGCGCCGTAACATTTTATTTTACTGACGGGGAACATTTTAATTCCCAGAGCTATACCTTTTCTGGTGAAAAAAACAATAACCAAGGTTTCCTAAAATGTAGATATTTTGACCAAATGATATATACCAGAGGCCATTTATACTAGTCAGAGTTGGCCTTTATTTGTTCCTTGCCAAGAGACACAAATGTACAAATACCCTTCGTTAAAAAGCTACAAACAAAACTTCAAGAAACTTATCACATTATTTTAAAGTGTAAGAATGAAGTAATATTTGCGTCAAGTTTCGTTTTCACAGGATTGTTTTCACGCCCCCGCTGTTTTCGTAAAGAAGAGTGAAATTTTGAACATTTTAATACGCGAAAACCGCTATTATATGCAAATTCGAACTGTCTTAAATTTTGGCCGTAAAATAAATCGTTGGAACTTTAAACTATTTTTCCTTGAATAAGTTCACCCAAAGGTATGTTCTGGCGAAATAAAAGAAAAAATCGATTTTTCGTGACTGTCTTTCGATTCTCGACATTCTGAGAAAATCACTCTTAGTATAGTGTTTTTTTTTATATATATAAAGATAAGGTTTTCGACCCTGAGCGCCCCTATACTACCTGGGCTAACATCAGCAGTTAGTTATTAAGGATGTTACTTAGCTAGTTAGTTAGTAAGATTGTTGCTTAGTTAGTTAGTTAGTTAAGTAGTTAGTAGATAGTTAATAAATTGCTTGTTAAATGATTAAGCTTTTATATATTCATACATTTTATTTTCATAATGGCCTGACTAGCACGTATGGTTCGTCAGTTCCCTTCTAGTGTTCCTCGCTGCCTAGTTATGTACTAAGATTTTTATTATTGTGGTTATTACAATTATTATTATTATAGTATTATGTTGTAATATTGTTTATAATTTTTTTATTATATAATCGCAGTGAAAATTGAATAAATTAAATTATAAGACTCGGCATGAATTGCTACTTATATAGTTTGTGTCACACAAAGCAATTCGTCTATTTAAAGAACCCTATGGGTATCTGGATCACTGGGAACTTAAAAACACCCAAAAAACCTACTTTGCTTGTACCTTAGACTGCGGCCCTTCAATTGCTTATCTAATAGCGCTTACTTGAAACCAAACTCCTTGATACATCAAAATCGTTATGGCTTGTAATTTTTAGAATATATTTTTCTACCTACAGGATTGCACCCTACTGTTATGAGAAGTTCACTATATGCCTTGAGAATAAGACTTAGCTAACTGTTAATACCCTACGTGTTTAACCTATGTGTTTATCGTGCGATAGTCTCTCGTTCCCTCCCACACAACCTGTCGTTAACCTCATTTGCAAGACAAATTTATGACTTGAACAGTGCTGTAGGGAATGACTAATTACTGACCGAGAAACTCTCAAATGGCTTTTTAATCAACCTCTTTGCTTTGTACACATGCATACAGCGTTTCATTTGCAAAAGGTTCTTTTATTAGACATTGACTTTAGCTCATATTCATAGTCTGAAGTCGTTTTCCCCATTCGTACCATCTAAAGATTCTGTCCAGTCATTCAGTCGACGAACAGAGTCTTCCCAACCATTTCCTACTGCTCAAGGTAGTTTATGAACCTGATGCACACTTTCTTTCCAACACATTAATTAGTATAAACAAACTAAAGTGTTTGTTGCCAAGAGGCTCCAAGAAAAGAGTATTCGAGCGTAAATTTTTTATTTGTCTCAAGAGCAAACACAAACAAACACCAGCTAAGACAATCACAAGAAATGTAGTCAGTTTACTCAAGCGTATTTACGCCAGCCGCTGCCAATTCCGCGAGAAAAGCTTGTTTATCTTTTCAAATGATTACCCCTTGACTTTTGGTCTCTTTTTTTCCTAAAAGCGCTATATTTATGTTCATGTTTTTGTCCATAAACACGAGCCAAAAGTACCTAATGTTTCCCCAATATCAATTTTATTTCCTGCATGTCATGTCACTTACGTATTTTTCACTACCGGCCATGAACTAACATTACCTATTTATCTATTTAGTTAGAGATTGACATGGTACATAAATTTGTAAATGAACAAGACACTGTATTCATTGGATCGAAATGTGTCTTCTATACACCATACAAAAGCGAGAAACACAAATGTTTGGATTACCGCTCGTTACATTGATCTTAACACAAGTTGTCTCGGCTGTTCGCTTTGAACTGAGAGGCTCCTAAATTACCAATTAAACATACCATTTAGCACCATAATTTAAACGTGCCGGTGAAAAAACCAGCATGAAGATAACAAGACTTCGAAGCATTTCTCTTCAGTTATAAACAACACTGACTTCTACATCTACATCTACATGTAACCTCAGTGAAGTCGGTAAAAAAATCGTGAGACAGGTTTGTTTGTTTGGTTGGTTTGTTTGTACACACGCACCTATGCATGGTAAACAGTATTTTCTTTAAAAATGTGACTTAAAATGTTACTTCTTATAGGTCGTTGCATTTAAATAGGCCACGAATATCTCAAGTTCTGTAAGATCGGTTATTTTCTATTTTAAAAACAATAAGGATCTGCAAGTTTCCCATTGATGAATGAGAACTTCTGCAAAACAAATACAGTTGCCGCTGAAAATTATGTTTGTTGCTTTTAAACCAGGAGGTGACCATGGGTTGTTTAGGCGGAAGAGAACATTTGGCAGCACGGCGTCCTCGTGTAACAGTGAGTTAGTCGCCTTTCTAAATCGGTTGCGAATGTTCCATTTCATGTCAGTCTCTTCATTTGCTAGTTTTTTTCTTCCTTGTAGAGATCCACGGAGTTTACTTGGAAAGATGGGACAGAATAGATTACAAACGCGTTAAATTTTTGCTGGCGGATCCAAGATATCCAAACCTACCAAGTTTTGCAACTTGTGTTCCAACATTCGAACAGCCGTCACGGTGGACAAACTTCTTTGGTTCTCGCTTGAGGACGTATTTCGTTCCATTCCAGACAGGAAACCATTACTTCTTTCTTTGTAAGTTGCTACTTTTCTTACGTGATAAAAGAGGTGGCGTCTGCCAGATATCACACCATGGAGTAATAGCACATTATCACATAGACACAACAATATATAACTGTAATTTTAATATGTTTCAATTAAAATTTTGTTTAAGATTGATCTGTACTTACTGACAAGTGATAAATACATAGTGATGAGTGGTAAGTTCTATAAGGCGTTTTCACATGACGTCACGGCAGCCAAATTGGTGACGCTAGACAGTGAAAAGGCGGCCATGTTGGTGTACCAAACCAATAGGCCACTTCCGAGTTGTCCTTTGCCTCTGCGTCAAAACAAGTCTTTGTGCGAAACCATTGTCATGAAGATGCGTTTCATCAGTAAGTTATTTTCATGCAAATCAAACTCATTTTCACAAGAAAAGTTTTGTACGAGGAGTTGCATTGAAACAGAGGCAAAATTCAACTCGGAAATGGCCTAATCTGTGGGAGCTAAACTCACTTCTTATGTAAACACTTCCTGTTGTTCCAATAAATTTGCACGAGTGCTTGTCACGTGAATGAAGACGCTCTATATCAATTCATTGACCTTATACGGCCAGATCTAAATTTGGGTATCGGGTAAATCCTAAAGTCTGGTGACATATCAGATTGGTTTGTTCATGTTATCGGTATTTTGGCGCGACTGCTTCTTGCATAAATATGAAACATGGCTCGACCAGACTAGCCTGCTATGCCGTGTGTGTCGGAAAAGCACGATTAGGTATAAATATTATCGGGATTCAGATGTGGCTGGCCTAATTTGATGTTACATGTGATAATACTCTTCTTCCTAAACCATCACAAATTCCGCAGGCAGTACAATTGAATTAAACGTTAAAAAACACTTTTTCATTCACTTTCTTAAGAATTGGAGTGCATTTTAAGCAACTGACTGTTTGCTCGGCAATCTGTTTTTCAGCATCCAACGCTGGGAGTGAGCTGTTTATCAGCACCAATGAGAAACCTGACACGAAGACGTTGATTAGTTCCATTGATGGTGGATTTACCACTTTTCAGTATGAATATGACAGGTAACAACACCATTAAATGTTTAGATTACATCATTTTTAAAATATAGAATATAAGAAATATTTTTTGTATACTAAGCCAGTGAATAGTGCTTTTCGCACGCTACTGAAGCCAGGCGGCTTTCCGTTAAGCTTAAGCTTGGAGCTTCATATTTTTCATAAAGCCGGTCACAAGCGTTATATATTAGCTTTAGTATAATTTCAGAATTGAACAAAGAGTTTCCAGCAACCTGATTGGTTCAGCGATCCCTTATGTGACGTTATATAAACCGCGCTAAGCGGTTTATATAACATTTTCCAGGCCTGGCTTCTAAGCTCGCCACCTTTGCCATCTCGGCAAGTAAAGATGGCGAATTAATTTTTCATCTATTCGGAAGACATCACTCTAAGTCCAGGATGTTTGAAAGGATGGAGAATTTTCAAAATGACTGCTGTCGTCCTTGGCCCAAAAATCCTTTCAAGAACCCGTGTTCAAGGCAGTTAAGAATCGTAAACATAGTGGTTACGTTGATTGCCAGCAGGTCAGATCGATTGACCGAAATCTGTTTTCCTCCAAACTAAAGCTACTCATTTTGAGACGATGATGACAACTGTGGATGAAGTCAGCAGCGATAAAACAAAGGTACCGGATGAATTTATTTTTCGTAGTGTTTTACTTGTTTGTTTTACTGCCGAACTCGATGAGCAAACTGATTCACAATCGATGTAAGCTTACATGTAAGCTTCTCATTAAAACTATACGGCTGCATACGTGTACGCAAACGAACAATTGCGTCCTGTTTTTATGTTTTAGTCCGTTAGTCTCCGTTGTTCAGTTCTGAAATTATACTAAAACAATTATTCGCCTCAGGCTCAGTGAATATTGTCGAAATATTCACCTCGCTTTCTGCGAATAATTGTTAAATATAGATTTACCAGTATCTATAGCTACAATCACGGACAAAAAAGTCTTGGGACAAATTTGCACTTTTGGTGCTTTTGCACACACGCCAGACGCGAATACTACTTCACCTGCCTAACATCGCACCCCACCCCCATAAAATGTTGAAAACTACTACCTGCAATTCCTTCCGATTTTCAACATTGTATTGGGTGGGGAGGGAGAACAGTAACGCGTTTCTAAAAAGAAAGCAGCGCTTTTTTCAAACTTCAGTAGTAAAACACAGATAATGCGTTAAATTACATAAGTGTCCCAAGGACTTTTGTCCACGATTGTAGCATTTAAAGTCGTGCCACTTGTTAAAACATAGAAAGATACGACATGTACACTTCCTGAATCCTTAATGTGGCGGCCTCTTTCAAAAGCAAATTAGCATAGCCTGTGAGGAGGCTTTTCGCGGGTGAAGGAAGAGGGGGAGCAAAGGGGAAGAAGAGCCCCCGCATAGCTTAGAGCTTTGAACCTCTCCCCCTTTACTCTTCTTCTTTATTTACTCAAGAGGAGCAGACTAAATTTCTCTGTATTTCAGAGATGCACTCTCAGTCTTAGCTATGAGATACTTTCTAGTGATTTGCATTATTTATCTAGATTCTCGAATCAAAAATCTCTCCCGGTTTATCTGAAGAAAGGTAAATATTACTACATGGAGGCTGTCATGAAAGACGATCATCAGAATGATCACCTGGAAGCTGCAGTTCAGACACCAGATGGGACATTTTACAAAGTGATACCATCAAAGTTCCTATGGACTTCATTGCCGCCTCCTCCCGGTAGGTACAATTTGATCCTACTTTATTTTACATGTTTGGAGAACGGGAAGATAAGAGCTGCAATTTTGAGAGATAAGAATCTCAAAAACTAATAACAAAATTTAACAAACTGAGTTGACAAAACCTTTCTTATTTTTATTTCTAGAGAAAAATGCTACTTACCAAGCTGTTTTAATCAAAGTAGCAGCACGAGCCGGCGCAAAAGCCGGTTTAGTATTTGGAACGAAGTGGGCTATGCGTAGTGGAGCAAAAGCAGGAGCAAAGGCTGGTGCATTGGCAGGAATGGAGGCTGGAGCATCGGCAGGAGCGAGTGCTGGTGAAAAAGCCGCCATTGAAATGACCACAAAAACAATCGAAGAAGGACTTAATAGTTATTATGGAAGAGATTCGCACCAATTCAAAATCGTTGTACAAAATGGAAACGTGGTCTCCGTTAAGGGTCCTGCCTCAGGAGGTGGTGGAGGTGGGGGCGGTGAGGGTGGGGATGGTGGAGGTGGAGGTGGTGGAGGTACTGGAGGTACTGGAGGTGCAGCGGGTGCAGCGGGTGCCGCGGGTGCAGCGGGTGCAGGAAGCGCATGGGGTGGAGCTGGTGTTGCAGGTGGTGGTGGAAGCGTAGGAGGAGGAGGAGGAGGAGGAGGAGGAAGAGGAGGTGGTGGTGGTGGTGCTGCTGGCGCTGGTGCTAGTGCTGGTGCTAGTGCTGGTGCTAGTGCTGGTGCTAGCGCTGGTGCTAGTGCTGGTGCTAGTGCTGGTGCTAGTACTGGTGGTGGAGCAACAGGTGGTAGTGTGGTTTCTGGAGGGGCGGGAGTTACAACAGCGGGATCTTCATCTGGGGTAGTGACTGGAGCCTCGGTAACTGCAGTAGGATCGCAAGTAACTTTAAGCGGGGGAACAGGACCAACTGGTGCGACTGCTGGCGGCAGTGAAGGCGCTCCTCAAACGGAAGCATCTTCTGTTCAAGAAAAAGTTACGTATATGTTAAAGCCGGGTGAGGATGCTCAAACTATGGCCAGGAAGCTAGTATGGAGACAAGGAGGCGCAAGCAAGCGTGAGTTGATAACGGCTTTTTGAATACCTAGTTTATAGGCCCGTACGTATTGACCTGTCTACCCACAATGGCTCGAACGAAGCTCAGAGATATTAAACGACTTTCAAATTTCGTTGGCCGACAAAGATATTTTAATTAAAATGCGTAATTGAAATACATTGACAATGTGGGAGGCGCGGTCCCTCGTCCGGGTTCGAGCCCTGGTCGGGGACATTGTGTTGTGTTCTTGGGCAAGACACTTTATACTCTCACAGTGCCTCTCTCCACTCAGGTGTATAAATGGGTACCGGCGAATTTAATGCTGGGGAGTAACCCTGCGATGGACTAGCATCCCATCCAGGGAGGAGTAGAAATACTCTTAGTCGCTTCATGCTACTGAAACCGGGATAAACTTCGGCCTGATGAGCCACTTGGTTTGTATGCTGACTTTACCTTACCTACCTTACAGTGACAATAGAGGACGCTTTTTGGCAAAAATTACAGTAAAAGCAAGACAGCTGATGTAACCATGTTTAAAGCAATGAATTTGAAGCATGTTCATTTACCCGAATAGAGTGCAAACATACAGTATTAAATCCCAGTTTTTCTCTCTACAGAGGAATGTTTTCGGGTTAAATGTAAATTTTATTTAAGAATTGGTTTACGCTTAGCGTATCCAATTCTTTTATAACATGGCGACAACAACTTGGGTGCTAAAACATGTTTTATTTGTGATTGACTACGAAGTTTTCACAATGCACGGTGAAGAAAAACAAAGCTCATTAAGATCCTAACCCGTCACAATCAGTTGAGCAACGGTTGAACAAAAACGCTTAACCTGGTTTCTTAAATTGATGAAAAATTCGCTTCTTCGAATTAATTATAATGAAAATGTAGGCAGACAAAGTCAAAAATACTCGATGAAAATGTAGTCAAACAAAGTCAAAATACTCACGTTTAAGTAAACATCTTAGCCTGGAAAATTCAAAGGCTCGAAGTAGAGTTTGGATTGTTCGGAATAATCTTCACATTCCCGAAACTTAAACGAAAGGAACTTGAACTAAACTCGACGAAAATTGCACACATCATCTTATATACGCACGGCCGTGTGTATATAGAGATTTTGTTCATGATGGTTCAATTGGAATTAGATAGGACTAGCGCGCGCTCTATGTAATTTATCACCATGGCCAAAACGCATGATAAAAACGTCATGATTAAACAACTAAAGATATTTGTTCATCAATCAATCTAGTTTAATCTTCGTACGTGCGATAAGTTATGTTTACAATACCAAAAGTAACATGTAATTATAGTTAAGGGAAATAAATGCTTACATATTCCAGATTTAGACTTCTAGGAAAGTCAGAGAAAAGGGATTTTTGATCATGAGCAACGTTTTTCGTAATGGCGCTGTTTAGTATATCGAACCTGTATCGGTACAAAATACGTTATAAGAAATGAATTAACAGTTAGAAGAAATGCAAGAAAAAATTTAAATGGTATAAATGTATATCTAATATTTCTTTCTCACGTATTTTTTTATAAGTTGTGCAAGATGGATTGTACACTGTCCATTCCTGGGACGTTCCGTATCCGCAGGAGAATGGTTCCCTTAACTTCTGTTGGAGATCTTTTAATGGCAAGGTAGCTCTGCGACCGTTTTGTCAAGTATTCAGAGTTCAAATGCCTGCACTGTATAAAAAGATTAAACCAGGGAAAGAGAGTGCTTCTTTTGAGTCAGTTTGTCTACCGGGATATTTCATGAGACAGAAGAACTATAACCTCATTCTCCAGAAAAGGGATGGATCAGAACTGTTTGGTAGGTGTTAGCAATCGTTTATACATCTAAGATCGATTTGATATCTACTCCTGAAAAATAGCACCAATATCAAATCAGATACTAGGATGGTTAAAAAAAATACCGTGGTCAGAGTAACTGCAGAGTACCTAAAACCAACAACAGCAAAAAACAGTTCATGTAAAATAACAATTAACTGACTGTTTTATTATCAATTAGACTGAAAACTCGAGTTCTTAATGAGGGAATAGTCAACAACGCGCAACAGTGTTCAGGTTGAACATTTCTGTAAAAAAAAAAAAAAAAAACTAGGAAGAGTGATTTAATTGTATTTTACGGCTTACGTAACGTTACGGCTTAAAGTTAGGGCTTCTAAAAGTAACTTGGCAGGACAATTTCACCTTTCAAAGGCAACAGGGTCACAATTACGGACTATCAGTGCTTTAGTGGTAGAAACTGACTAATTATTTTTCTATCATTACGACTGCAATGCGACTGACCTTCCAATACATTGTATTGCATATTGTTTATTTACTCCAAACATCATATTCTAAAGATTGCACATAACAATATTTTGATGTGTATATCTCTTCCTTGACAGATAAAGAGAGTTCTTTCAAAGTCTATAACGTGATGAAATACAGTAGAAATTTGATGCTAAACTCAATGCACTCGGATTGGTTCATTTGTCAAAGTAAGGATAAGAAGCTTCATGGTTCCACGCTCATTACACTGGACTTTTACAACGGTGATCCAGATGTCCTTGAGCGGTGTACATTTTCATTCATGCCAATACCGCAGAACCAAAACAAATATATGCATTGCAGAAACGTTGCTGGACCAGTTGTTCATCCCGCCATCAGTGGGCAGCCACTTCCTCATCCTCAGCACTTAGTTCCGGAAGTACCACCTGTTCCTGCCCAGCCTTCCTGTATACCCGTATGTCCCGCTGCAGAAACTGCGGGGAGAGCACCAATATCTGGATCCTCAGTCCCAGGCGGCTTTCCTTTGGAGCCTTCAATCACAAGTTCTGAAAGTATAACCATTATATTGGGTGTATCTTATCTAGAATGAAAACAAACGTCTCAAACGTATTATAGATATAAAATCAAGCGCATCAAGATAAACTCTAGACTCGCACATATTTTGTGACGCATTAACACATGTAAAATCATCAAAAGTGTGTTCCTTGTCAATTTTCTTCCCGCCTTGACTCAACAGACGGTAAACAATGGAGAACATTTTTATCTATTCGTTTATTTTTCCAGTTTTTTCTGGAGTTGATAACTGCCTTTTCACCCCGCGAGGGAGGGGTGCTCTCAGCAAAATTGGGTGGGTGTGTGCGGCCCGCTTTCCAAAACCTTTACCCTATTTATGACCAAAATCTGCGATATTCCCTACCCTATTTATGACCTGACCAAAATTTCGAAACCCTATTTAGACTTGACCCTTAAATCAAAACCCTGCTTCAGACCTAGGTCATAATTAGTTTCCTAGTTCAGACCAATGTTACATTACCGTAAACGTAATTTCTAGAGGGCTTTTGTTGATTTTCTTTTCGATAATGATGAAAAAGTGGCTTCTTCTTAAAAACATACCCATATCAAGGCTAGAGTACAAAAACCATACCCTATTTATGACCAAAATAGCCAAAATCAGCTAAAATCAATACCCTATTTATGACCAAAACGGCTGAAAACCATACCCTTTGGGGCCGCATATACCTATTTAGCCCATATAAGGGAGCACCCCCCTCCCCGGGGCTTTTCACGTTTAGCATGCCAGTGTTATAACAATTTCACATTTACAGACAGCAAAATTCTAAATGAATCTTCTTTGGTTGGAATAATTGATCCTTCTTTGTTCCTAGGACTTCGTTGGAACCTGTGTAGGGAAAATATATACTTATTGTGCATTCTCGTTTAAGACTAGCAAGTCAATTAAATCAGTTTCTTAATCAACAGGCCGGCGAAAAGAGGTATAGTTACTGAAGAAGACATGACCAAATTATTTAGTGAAATTCAGTTGTTGTCTATTTTAGAGATGTGCGTCGCCTTGAACTTCATTAACAACTTCAGAGCACCATTTAAGCTCTACTCTTCTCTCAAGCACGAGGCATATCTTGTCACTGGATTTGGCTTTAAACTTAAACTCATCATTGAACGACCTGAACTACACAGTCACGTGATATTCAAAGCCGAGGATCCACTTGGCAAGCACAAAATCTTCCTGAACGGAAAACTAAGTACTTCAGAGGCAGCAGTTGCTGGCTGTCCTGAGTTTGTCAACGTGTCTGTAACGCCAGAGCAAGGTAAGACAGAAAGCTTTACACTGTTGACTAAATTTTAAACAGCTTATTATAATCAATGATTGATTATCGAATTGAGATTAACGGGAAGACGGGAAGAATAAACTACTCTTGAATGGAAAACCAAGAATATCTGAGGCAGTGATTATTTTTTGGATGCCCAGTGTTCTGTGATGTGTCAGTGACTTCCGAACAAAGTATCATGAAACATTTTCCACTGTTTTTCTTGAAGGAAATAGAAAGTGTAGGTGTCGCTGAGAGGATAAAAATTGGTTTTTAAACAATTGATTTGTTACTGCAGGTAATGCTCCTCCCGAACCATCTGGCAATTTTCGAGCTTTACCACAAAGTGTTCACGCCTCCACTAACCTGGCCACTCTCAATCCTTCTTCTTCTTTGCATCCTCCTATATTTCTGAGGCAACCCTCTCCTCCTCCTCCTCCTCCTCCTCCTCCTCCTCCTCCGCCGCCGCCTCCACCTCCTCCTCCTCTTTCTCCGTCTGCACCACCACCTTCTCCTTCTCTAGCACCACCTCCTCCTTCCCCAGCACAACCTCCTCCTCCTCCTTCTCCTCCTCGTCCTAATGCGCCTCCTCCACCTCTTCCACTTTCGCCTCCTTCACAAGCAGCAGCAACACCAAGTTATTCACCTCCTACAGTTGGTCCAGGTTTTCCAGTTTCAGCTCCAGGAGTATCATCTAAAGGCGGTGAGTCTGGTGGGAGATTAGGGTCACTATATACCTTAGTTTATAGAGTAAAATGAGGTTTTATAAAGAGCCAGACGATAACAATAGTCAGTGGAAATCCTTCCTGGTCCCTATTTAATTTACCTTATTGACTTCTTGCCATCAAATATTATGTTGTCGGTAACTCACCTTGGTTAAATCTTGTTCTTAAAATTCTGCATACTATGTTGTCGCTCGCACTGTTTTTAACACGTTTGGTTTTAATCATGAAAGACAAAGGATAAGGGAACAGAATAACGGCTTCAACAATTTGGCACCAGGCCTTCTCAGTGTTACCTTTCCCTTTCCCTTCCCTGTCTCACCCTCTTTTCACTCGCCCTCCTTCTCATTCAATTCACGCTCCATCTCGATCGCTCCTTTCAGATATCTTGAGAGTGATAGAGGTTAATGTCTCCAATAAAACAATAATAGACGCAATAATTTAATTAATTTCTCTGCATCTCTTGATAGGGAAAGGCCATGGATCAATTCACTATCACTATCATTTGTATCCTGACAAGACGCCACATGTAGCTCCCGGTAAGCAAGTCACGCAAATTTCTTTCCGTTAATGTATAGCAATGGCTCGTTATCTGAAACTATGAAAATTCATATCATTATACAAGACTGAAAGATGCCATTTGTCGTTCCCTTTTGTTACGCGTAACACTTTCGTATGGCTGATCCCGAGTACAGACTGGCAACTAAAGACCTTCACCATACGAGGGTGACACATGAAGACAATAAACCTGAAAATCTTGTGGGTCCCCTGGCAAAAGCAAAAACTATTAACATCCCTAGATAATAATATAGTTTCATCCTAAGAGGAGTGAGATAACTGGATTGAGCACTTCAGAAGCTTGGTTGGGGTTCAAAAGAACTGTTATCTACCGATCATTCTAGTACTTATATTATTTCTAAAAGTCAAAAGATAAAGCTGAGCTCAACTGAAAACAGAAGCTTGTTGCATTGAATTAAGTGCTGTGGGAAACTTAGAATTTGCCGCCACTTGCTCATCCGGGAGTTAAAAATTTTTACTTAGAAGCCATTTGGTTTAAGTCTATTAATCCTACAAGAACATAACTTGGTTGTCAGTTTCTAGTGGGAGGCTCCTGTACATTTTCATTAAACCTCAATTAAGAGTGTGTCCATGAGAAAACCAGGCAAAACCAGGCAGGAGGCGATACAGCTCAAATCACCGATTTTGCTCAAACTTGGCACAAATGTTGGGTTTGGTGAGTAAATGATCATGGCAAAACATTAGGTCAAAATATTTTATCCTCTTTAAGTTAGGGGAACCCCCTCCAAAACTGGCCGTTTGTCACTAATTTATGCACATTTAATTAGCTGTCTTTGATTTAGTATTTCTACTACAAGAAAGGCCATGTGAAAATGAAATCCACTGGATCATTTTCTACTATTATCAGTCTCAGAGCACAGGTATTCATTTGAACTAGACAATTTGATTTCTCTCCGTGGCTCCATCTTAAGTAAGGCGCGTATTTCGTAGCGTTGTGAATAGCCTTTAATTGATGGCAAATATCTGCACTGTCCAACAGCAAATACACATTATTATAACATGGATAGTGAAAGCAATCACTTAAGTTCTCAAAAAATTCATAAAATGTTTGGGGACTTAAAAATTTTTTCTGTGCTGGCATACTGTTTACATAGGATTTTACAATTTTTGGCCATTTCATGAACATCCACTAAAACACAAAAGCCATTTTTCTGTCTTAACCTTACTCGAAATCAACAAGAAATATCTACTTAAGTATTTTACTATCAATTTCCAGTATAAATTCGGCGAAAAGAAGCACTTGAGACATTTCTTTTTTATATATTTATAGAGCTACATTTTGTGGCATTCTCACGATATCGAAAAAAAACGCGACAGAAGAAGATTCAACGCATAAGTTCCCTCAACTTATGTTTTGAGGCGTAAAATAGAATGGAAACAAGAAATAACTACTACTTACATGTCACATAGACGCAATTTTGCGCTCTCGTTGATTCTTGGACGGGGTCCTACTAACTTGAAGGGAATACAATATTTTGACCTAAGTTTTTGTCATAATCATTTACTCATCAAACCCAACATTTGTGCCAAGTTTGAGCGAAATCGGTGATTTGAGCTGTATCACCTCCTGCCTGGTTTTCTCATGGACACACTTTTAAATTCATTATTATAGTTTGTCCAACCAGCTGTACCAATTCAGGATATGGGTGCCCACTTCAATGTCCGTCTCAGTGTTGTAAGTAGGGTGTGGTGATTGCCTTGACAACGGAGAAGTGAACACAGCCATAAAGGAGACAGCAGCTGGAACTCGAAAAGCACAGAAACTAGCATCACGTTTCGTCCCATACTCCCTTCCGCAGTACCTCACGATGAAAATATAGCTGAGTCCTACCGACAATTTGTAAACCCCAAGATATGAATCGACGTTGACTCATTGAAGAGAAAAAGCGTTCGCTTTTGTCATTTTAAGAAACGCAGTTCTTCGCTGTATTTGGTTCGTTAATCTATCAGCTGGGTCCTCGTTGTTGGTATCGCTTATAATGACAGCGCATGCGTTTTCGGATCTAGATTTCTTGTTTATTAGAATTAGGAAAGTTTCCACTTAAAAATAATCAGTACTGTAACGTTATGATGAACTTAAGGGTTTTTTTGCTTTGGGACATTTTAATGATCTAATTAAGTGATTTGTTTTTCTATCATATATAAAACTTATCAGCCTCACGATTCTCAAACTCGTTCCTCAAGTCTTCGTTCCTCACTGGGCAAACTTGACAAAGTGAGCGACTCTCGAGAGTTCCGTTACAACCTTCATGACATTTTAATTTATTTAAGAACAATGAAATGAGCGAAAGGGTAACAATTGGTGATTCGTTTGACATTAGTTGTCAGTTAGGTATGCGCAGTTCAAGCGGAGGTTCAAAAACAAACTTTCCAGGGTACGGCGTTTGCTTCCTGACCGCTGGTAAGGAGGAACGAAGACTGTGATCTTGAATTAAGTTTATTTATCTATTTAATTTAATGTTTCATCACCCTCTTATGTACAAAGTACTAAGCATACGTGTTTCATTTTACTTTTTATAGTGACCTGTCTTTTACTTGAATTAGTTTGCTCTGAATGTATGCTATTAAAACATCTTCTTGCTACTCTGGACGAGAAGTATACCGTTGGGTTCTTGTTGTCTTTAACTCGAAAGGAGAGTGCTATTAGAATTTTACAAGATTTACAAGATTAAGTAGTCGTTGCATTGTTCAACCCACTGCCATGATGATAAAGCTGTGTTAGTATGTGAAGTGCATTACTGATGGTTCGGTTTATCGGGTACATCGAAGAGAGAATTTGTTGCAAAATGGCAAAATTGCGGCTTTCTTTGGATCGACCAAGAAAAGCCATTATTTGAACAAATGGAAAGTGGACTTACAAAAAATCATATAATAAAAAAATATATTTGCCACACAAGACGGAAAAATGGTTCATCAAACTGAATTTATCGAGGCTGCTTAACCTTTCAATGTAGCACTTCGAGTTGCTAAGGGCAACCGTCCGCAAATCATAGTTTACAAATCTAAACACACTCGCATCAAAAACTGCTCCAGGTCTCGTCCACACCCTAACCCCAACCATAGTTAATCGAGGGAAATGGTTAGGAATCTTGGCAAAGTTCTTGTATGTATTTGTTTGCTATTTTGGGGGTTGACCCTGCACAAAAGCTGGCAAAATACGAAAGGTGGTTACTTGTGCTCATACAACTAACCAATAGAAGCATTGCGATTATGTAATTCATGCATAGTCAATGAGCAGAAAACAAAAGAGGTGCAGGGTCAAGGACCTTTAAACATAAATCTTAGCCTGTTTGTTTACTTCTTTGATGTTTACCGGCCTTCGTAACTATTTCTCTCTATTAACTATGCCCCAACCAACTCACGAACCTTTGTTTCCGCGTTCTTAAGGTTGGGTCTTAAGTTTAATTTACAAATATCTTTACAACTAATGCTAATTGCCTTAAGTTTGCCTCGGGAAAATATTAGCCCTCTTTTTAGTTGATATTTAATAGTTGTTGTTTGGTCTGTTGAGAACGGTCCAGGATGACACAACAGAAGAGTGCTAACATATCTCCTGGTACTTTTCTGTTCCTCGCAGGTGATCTTTTGTTTGCTTTAAGGCCATCCCTCATGACCAGAGATCCTATTAGTATTTATTGCTCCTTTACTCAGAGCCACAACTGAGATGATGCGATAGGCCACGCTCTATTTTGAAGTGTTTGCTTTTGTGTTAAAAGCTGTTTGGCGTAGCTTTGATCTTAAACTCGTAAGACTTGAAACTTGTAAGGTAAGTAAACCTCATTTCAACTGCGACCTTTGCAGCGCACTTCGGGTTAGTGGAAGTCAGTCTGTATCAATATTTATTGCAGAAAATGACCTTTCGCAATGTGCCCGCTTTGTACACGTTCCTTCACAACTGAGACACAATTGAGATGATGCAATCGGCCACGGTTTATTTTAAAGTGCGTGGTTTTGTGTTAATAGTTGCCTCGCATAGCCATGATTTTAAAATCAAGACTACAAACTTGGAAGGTAAGCAAAACTCTTATCATTAATGACCTTTGCAGCGCACGTCAGGTCAGTGGAAGTCAGTCTGTGAAACGTTTTCCAATTTTTTGCCATGAGGTTTGAGTGAGAGGTTACGAATTAAATCATTAAACAGCTGTTATTTTACTACAGGAAATGCCCCTCACGAACCATCTGGTAATGCTCAAGCTATTCTCGCCTCTAACCTATCCACTCAGTATCGTTCTTCGTCTTCGCATCCACATATATTTCTAAAGTCACACCTTCCTCTTCCTCCTCCTTCTCCTCCTCCTCTTCCTCCGCCTCCACTCCCCCCACTTTCTGCTTCTCCACTAATGCCTCCCCCCTCCTATTGCACCATCGCCCTCTCCTCCGCCGCCGCCTCCGCCTCCCCTCCCTCCCCTTTCTGCCCCTTCATCACTCCCACTCACTCCATCTCCCCCACCTATTCCACAACCACTTCCTCTTCCTCCTCCTCCCCCTCTCCTCCTCCTCCTCCTCCTCCTTCTACTAATCCACCTCCTCCACCTTTTCCAGGTTCGCCCCAATCACACGTAGAAGCACCACCACCAAGTTACTCAACCCCTACAATTGGTCCAGGCTCTCCACGGTAAGTCTAGTGAGAGATTAGAATCAACTTGTTTTTTCCATTTTAAACTTTAGTTTCTAGAGCAAGATAAGGGTTTGTAAAGGTCCAGTCTATAACAATAAGCAACTGCAATCCGACCTTATGCTCCGTTTTAAATTATCATTATTGAACTCTTGCGTCAAATCTTGTGTCGGTTAGATTTCTGAAATTATGAATGGTATGTTGCCGTTTGCACTGTTTTTTAACAAGTTTGAATTCCATTATGAGAGACGAAGGATAAGGGAACAGAATGGTAGCTTCAATAATTTGTCAACAGACTGTTTGTTGCCTTCCATTTTCCCTTCCCCTTCACTCGCCCTCCTCCTCATTCATCTACGATCTCGCTGATCGCTCCTTTTAGATACCTTGAGAATGATAGAGGTTTATGTACTTCAAGAAATGTTAATTAGACGCGACAATTTGAATTACTTGAACGAATTTTTCTGAATCTCTTAACAGGGAACCTGAACTGAAAACCTTGTGGCCCTTGAATACTAGGAAGCTATTGAGAAAGATTCCTAGCCCATAATATGGTGCCGGTCATCCTGGAAGAATTGTAGTCTGCAGTTAAAATCCGACTTAGTGACTTAAAGAACTGTCACCTACCGAACATTTTAACGCTTATCACTGCTTATTAATATTTAGACACTAATTTTCTGAAAGTTAAAAGATGAAGCTGTATTTGACTGTCAAGAGAAGCTTGAAACATTGAGTTACGTGCTGTAAAAAATTGAGCATTTGTCTCCTTAAGTTCACTCGGGAGTTAGAATAGCCCATTAAACAGTTGTGTGCTTAGTTATCTGGCCAATGAATACAGGCGAGGCTGGAGGTGACCTTGCTTTGATACAGACCTCTCTGCTTTTCTCATTTAAATGCTAACTAATTAACATAAGAATAACTTGATTTACA